TTCACTTCCTTTTCTTTTTTTTTTTCGTGTTTAATTAATTATACGTGCAAAAATGGAACACCTCTAATCTTTGTTTATTCAATTTGTTTATGTCGCCTTTTTCTTCCTTTCATACTGTCATCTATTTGTGACATTTATTTCAAAATTTTTTATTCAACAATTCTATGTGTATGATTGGCATTAGCATTTCTTATTTTAGGTATTCCATTCCATTTGACTTAATCGTATTCAGCCATTAAAACTCTAACAATCAGGTAGATGATAAATGAATAGATTGGAACTTTTTTTTTCTATTCCATCAATAAAACCCTTCGCATTAAATAATTGATCAGATAAGAAACTGATAATATCGACCTGAATTCCGCCTGTTTTTATCAATTGAAATACTTTTATGAAATAAAGAAATAAGTAATGCTTTATGTTAAGCTTAACTTCATAAAATGCAATTTTGCTAAATTAATTGATAAACAGAATGGAATTAGTGAAGTTTGTACTTGAATCATCAAGTAAATATTGCTAAATATACCGAGTATTTCCGTTCCTCATTTATCCGTTTTAATGGACAATGCTACACGAATTAATACGATGACACTTTCCAATAAAAGCATTTGCATTCCTGAAATGTCAACTACTATATCAAGAATATTCTAAATCAATGTAATATCAAAGTCAGGAAATGTAACTGAAATGTAAAACAAATTTTTGAAATTCATAAAATCGCAATGAATTTGCAATTTACATTGAATTAAGAAATGCCTTTTATCTTAGTATACTTACCAAAATTATACATTTTCCCATTCAACTAATCATTTATTCTTTGCTTCGAAATTATCATTTTAGACTGAACTAATCAGTTTTGCATATTTCATCAATAAATTTGTTTTTTCCAATGGCATTAAATCTCGTCATCAATTTAAATATGTGACAATTTGGAAAAAGAAACTGCTCATCTTTTCTAGAATTATTTACTAATTTACTTTTTGACACAATTCAACAATTTTTCTTTTCAAGACACCAACAATTTTCCACCATTTTGAATTGTAAATAAAACTCAAATGATATTTCCTCGCTTATCACAATTTTAAAATTCAAAAGATTGGAGCACAACCTTGCCATTATTAAAATATTTTTCTATAAAATGAAATGACCTTTTAACCTTTTAATCTATGCATAAAATACTGTGTAAAATCATCCCATTGTAATAGTATTAAAAGAAATTCTCAATTCTAATATCTTCGTTTTTTTTCTTTCTTTTATTCCTTCAGAACTACTATTTAGCTAATACACTAAAGTACTGTAACTATATTGTAAAGATTATGATGAAAGTAACAAGAAACATTAATTGTATTATAACTCGATTACTATCAATTGTAATCTATTTATTATCAATTTATTGATAAGCCCCAGTGTTAAATGATATATATTTCCATGCATATTTCTATAGAAAACAGTTATCTTCAACTATTAGCCATTCATTAATTGTTAAGT